TTTTGTTTTTGTTTTTTTTTTGAGACGGAGTCTCACTCTGTCGCCTAGGCTGGAGTGCAGTGGCACAATCTCAGCTCACTGCAACCTCCGCCTCCCACATTCAACGATTCTCTTGCCTCAGCCTCCTGAGTAGCTGGGACTACAGGTGCACACCACCATGCCCGGCTAATTTTTGTGTTTTTAGTAGAGACGGGGCTTTGCCATGTTGGCCAGGCTCATCACGAACTCCTGACCTGAAGTGATCCACCCGCCTCAGCCTCCTGAAGTGCTGGGATTACAGGCGTGAGCCACCATGCCTGGCCTAACTTAAAATTTTTGTAGAGATGGGGGTCTCGCTATGTTGCCCAGGCTGGTCTCAGACTCCTGGTCTCAAGCGATCCTCCTGCCTTAGCCTCCCAAAGTGCTGGGATTATATGTGTGAGCCACTGTACTTGGCCTAACAGCTCTTTTTAAAATATCTCTTTAGGATCTACACAGTGCTGTTGTGATTTAGTATCGTTTCCTTGTGACGTGGGATATCTCTTTTCCTTTCTAACGTGCGTATTTGCAGCTGTAACCTCCCTCCTGGCTTCTGCTGCACCCCGTTCGTTTCGGTTGTCGTGAGCCCTCTACTGGGGGTCTCCACTCTCTGGTTACAAACACATTGCGGGGAATGTGCTGTGGCGAGTCTTTGTGCATCTTCCATCGTTTCCGCTGTTTCATCCCGAAGAGTTGAATGAGCGGGTCTCACGGCAAACATGTTTTATAGCTTCTGCCCTAGGAGGCTGTCTACGTACTTGTGTCCTGTGGAAGGTGTTCTGTTGTTTCCTACCCTTTTCTACACTTGGCATTTTAAACATGTATTTTTCAGTGTGGTGAGAATTTGTGCCTTGTTTTGGTTTGTATGTTTTTGTCCCTCAGTGCAGGAGTTCTGGGTGCGCCTTCTGGGCGTTTGCTTTTGGGTCCTGGGGGCACTCTAGGTGGTGTGGGGTTGGGTGCAAGGGTGGAGGGAGATGGCACCTTCCTGGGGGTCTGGGTGCCTGGCCTCTGAGCAGTGTCCTCTACCCCTGTGCAGCCAGCCCAGGCCTTTGTGGTGAAGCGGGGTGTCCACGTGTCGGGAGCGTCTCCCGAGAGCATCAGCAGCCTGCTCTCGGAGGTGGCCGAGTATGGGACCTGCTACACGCGCCTGAGTCACTTCTCTCTGCAGCCGGTCCTGGACTCTTCGTACAGCAAGGGCCTCGTGTTCCAGGTACGGCCTCTGCCTCGTGGCTGTCACACATCCTTGTAAGAACGATGCACACGACCTGGAAAAGAGAATCTCAGAAGTCCTTCTGCAGGACCAGACAGTCTAAACCTTTTCTTTCCTTGCTAACATCTGAAACCCGATAGTGGCTCGTGAGGGATGGGTCAGTGAAGATGTTTTACCTCACTGGAAACTTGGGGCAGATGCGTGTGGGCCCTGGGGTGTGTGGGAGGCAGGTGAAGCCAGCATTCGGGGCATGCGAGGCAGGAAGGGCGTTAGTGGGGCTCTTGCCGCCTGCTCCCCAGTGGGCCCGGCACATTGCGGATGACTGACACTGCCCGGCCCTCGTGTTGGGTGAATTTACATTGCTGGGCGTTCTGAGCCAAGTCTGGCTCTGGAAGCCGCTCTTTGGTGAGTCTTGAAGCTGGCTCATATGCTGAGTAGAGATCCATGGGACAGAGGCTGCACCTTGATTGGAAGAGAATAGGCAGGCGGATGATGGGTAATTTGGGGGCTGAGAGGAGGGTGTTGGGAAGGTGGGCAGAGAGCACTGGAGGAGCCAGGCGGCGCAGCCTCCTTCAACTGTTGCTGCCACAGCAGGGGCTGTAGGGTGGGGTGATGTGGTGAGGTTTAGGTTTTAGACGGGCTGTGGAGGTGGGCATGGTGGGAGCTGCATGGGACGGGGAGAGCTTCTAGGCAGAGGCTCAGCCCTGGGGGACTTGAGGGCTGGAGATGGTGGAGAAGGGGGCAGAGCAGGGACACTGAGAAGGGCTGGACTGTGGTTCCCGCTCATCTGGCAGGTGTGGCCAGGCGGGTTCTGGGGTGGGTGGACTGAGATTGGTCCAGGGTGGGCCTGTCTTGGTGTGACCTGCAGGGCCTGCTGCTGTGGCATTGCCCAGGATGCTGGTGCCACTGAGACCACTGTGGTCCGAGCAGACGCAGCTCTCACAGCACTAGTGTCTGTGCACAGAGCGCAGCTGCCATTTCCCCCCTCACCCCGCAACCCCTATGCCACGCCCCTGGGGCAGCTGGTCTCAGATGAGAGGAAGGGTTGGTGGGGGGGCCACAGCTTCTGGCTTCTTGTGGACGGGCCACATTTCCACCTGGTCCAGTGGTGGGACGTGGCTCACAGAGGCCCATTGCTTGGAAATGGAGCCCAGAGCTGAGGCAGGAAACAAAGCGCTGTGCCCAGTACTGGTGCCCCTCAGGCCCTGGTCACACCTGCGTCCATGTGCTTGGCCGCCCTCCTCCCAGCCTCTTTGCCCACAGGCCTTCACCAGTGGCCTGAGGAGGTACCTGCAGTATTACCGGGCCTGCGTCCTTTCCACTTCGCCCACCCTGAGCCTCCTCACCATTGGTTTTCTCTTCAAGAAACTGGGCCGGCAGCTCAGGTGAGCCTCAGCATGGCGACTGAGCAGGGGACTTTGCAGGAGTGGCATGGAGCTTGCTGGGTGATGGAGGGTTTGCTCTGCTTCCTGGCAAGGAGGGCCTGTGAGAACAGCCCTCAGCAGGTGACTGGACGGCCCTTGGCTGGCCGAGTTCACCAGGTGCCAGGCAGAGTGGGTGTGTCTGCCATGGGCCTACCACAGCTGGCCCCATCCAGGCCCTCCAGGCCTGGTGGCTCCTGCCTAATTGGCACATAGGGTCCCTAGGGATGTGGCTTCTGGTACACACAAGCTGGTTACTGAGCAACCAGGCTGGGGAGCTACTGGCAAGTGCTGTCGGACAAGGAAGAGTGAGGAGTTGGGCGTTGGGAGCAGTGGGAGAGGCGACCTTCCAGGCAGAGGAGCAGAATGTGGCAGCCCTGAGGAGACCCAAGGGCTGAGACACCGTGGGGCAGGGGAGCCTGGGCTGTGAAGGCGCGAGTTGTGGCAGGTGCTTGGTGCCACTGTGTGGATGGGAGGGGCTCTCGGGTGCAGCCCCCGGAACTGGGAGGATCAGGGTGATTGGTGTGTTGGCCAGAGCCTGGGAGGGAGGGGCCTGTTGGGTGTGGGTATTTCAGTGGGTCTGTGTGGACAGTGCAGAGGCCCAGGGCTGGGCACAAGTCCTCCAGGGAGCCCATTTCTGGGTCGTTGGGGTGCATGTGGTTTTTAAAGCCTGTATCTGAAGTCAGTTGCTCCAGGGAGCATGAAGATACATGGAGATTTTGCTCATGATCTGATCCAGGCCTGGGGACCCTGAGCCCGGTCACCTGGTCTGATCCTGCCTCTGGGTCTAGGTACCTGGCCGAGCTCTGTGGCGTTGGTGCTGTGCTCCCAGGCACCTGCGGAGGAGGCCCCAGGGCTGCGTTTCCCACCGTGAGTTGTGCGTCCCTGCCGAGTGTGTCAGCCTGGCGGGTTCCAGGAAAGGGGGCGACTGAGCGTGTCCCTGGGGGGCTGCTGCCGGCAGGGCTGCATCTGACTCCCAGGGCTGGGTGCACTGAGCTGCCCCCCCCCCCGCCCCCTTTGTGGTCTGCAGGGTGTGAAGCTGCTGTCCTACCTCTACCAGGAGGCGCTGCACAACTGCAGCAACGAGCACTACCCTGTGCTGCTGTCCCTGCTGAAGACCAGCTGCGAGCCCTACACCCGGTGGGCGGTGGGCGGTGGGCGG